ATATATGTGGCCTGTAATTGACCAAAGTCATTATACAGTGTGATTTTACATACATAGGTATATTTTTATAAATAGAGAATATAGATAAAAATGACATAAAACATTTCTTTGAAACATACGTGTGTGTATGTATGTCTTGTAAGCAATTTCTATTTTATTCATTTTTATTGGTTCATAACAGTTATACATACTAATAGGATTCATTTTGACATAATTATAAATGCATGGTATAAAATTTGCTTCAATTAAGTCCCCTAATCCCCCTCCTCCTCCTATACCCTTTCCTCTACTCTATGGACCTTTCTATTTATTTACACTTTAGGCAATTTCTTAGGAATATTTGTATAACAGTCTCATGTTGAGTATTTCTTGATCTAGGTCTATCATTGTGTTCAGCCATATTCTTATTTATTTATTTTTTGGATACTGGGAATTGAACTCAGAGGAACTTGACCACTGTTTTTAAATATTTTTAGTTATACATGGACACAATATCTTTATTTTGTTTACTTATTCTTATGTGGTGCTGAGGATGGAACCCCGGGCCTCATATGTGTGAGACAAGTGCTCTACCACTGAGCCCCAGTCCCAACTGCGAGCTCTATTTTATATTTTATTTAGAGATAGGGTCTCACTGAGATGCTTAGCACCTTGTTTTTGCTGAGGCTGGCTTTGAACTCTTGAACTCTTCCTGCCTCAGACTCTTGAGCAGCTAGGATTAAAGGCTTGCGCCACTGTGCCTGGCCAGCCATGTTCTTATTAATGACTAAATAGGCTCTTCGTTTGTTGTTGCTATTTCAGTGCCTCAGTGGGCATCTTTGTAAGTGTATCTTATAGGAATGAACATCCAATTTGGATTACTAGAAATAGAATTGTCGAAAGATAGATGAATTTGATTTCTATATAAATACAACATTTCCCAGTTAATATCAAGTCATATGCCCACAGAAAGTATAGAAGACAAATATAACCAGAATTAATTTCTACCAATATTTTTATATAAATATTTTCTCATTTTTACTTTGATTTCTCCCCTATATCAGTGTTACAGTTTTTGTTTCAACTGTCAAACATAATTTAGAAAAATCAATATGAGAAGAAAATTTATTGTGTTTACCCACATTTTATTTATGGTGTTTTTTCTTCCTTCTTGGTATTGCTATGTTCTTTCATTCATTTTTTTTTCTATTAAGAAAACTTTCTTAGCCATACTTTACTCTTAGAGTAGCTTTACTTTTGATAAATTCTCTTGCTTTTTTTTTTCCAACAAGGTCTTGATTTCACCTTCATTCCTGAAGGATATTTTCATTGGGCATAAGATTATGGAATTCCTTTCTCTCAGCACCTGAAAAATATGTATCATTTCTTTTTGTCCCCAGGATTTTTGATGAAAAATCTGCTATCATGCTGTTTTTCCTGTATGGGTAAGGCATCATTATGCTCTGAATGTTTTCAGAAATTGTATACTATGTGTCTTTGTGTGGATATCTTTGGGTTTATCCTCTTTGGGGACTCAGGTTCTTCAATCTGTAGGTTTTATGCCATTTGCATTATTTATAAAAAATTCAGTCATTATTTCCCCTATTTTTTTTAGCTCCATGTCGTTTGCCCTCTCAACCTGAGATTTTGATGGTATTAATGTTAGATCTTTTGTTACTCTCTGCCCCCTTGTCTGGTCTATTATTTCTGTTGTTCAAATTGAATATGTTTTATTTACCTTTTGGTTCACTGATTCTTCCCTCTCTCTTATCTGTTTTTCTATTGAGCACATATACTGAGTTTATTTTGATAAATTATTTTTAGGTTCCAGATTTTCATTTGGTTCTAATTTATAGCTTATGTTTTTTTGCTAAGGCTTTCTATTTTTTTTCATTTGTATCAAGCATATTTATAATTGCTCATTAAAATATTTTTATCAGGACTACTTTGAAGTCTTTTTCAGATATTTGACATCACTGTCATTTTGATGTTGGCATCAATTTATGTTTTTTTTTTCATTTGGCTTGAAACCTTTTTGTTTCTTTGTATGATGATTTTTTTTTTAATTGCAGCCTAGACATTTTTGTGCTACTTTGTTAGACTCTGGATCTTATTTAAATTTTCTCTTTGAACTGGCTTTCTCTGACACTTCTGGATCAGGGCAAGGGGAGGTACTGCTACACTAATATTTCCAGGGAGAAACAGAGGTCAAGGTTTTCTAATCTGCTTCTGTATTATCATGTGAGTGGAGAAGATCCTGGATCACTACTGGATGTACGAGCTGCCCACATGACCTTCATTGACACTGTAGTGAGAGTGGCAGTATTACTGCTGTGTGGTTTGAAAGTCCTGACTTTCCATTAGATTTCTCTGAAACTTCCCAGGCAGGAATGGAGGTAGAGGGGGTCTTATTTCTGTAGGGAGACAGTAGTTCTCAATGTGGTCTCTACTGACACAGAGTGGAGGATCAGTACAGGTTGATGGGGCATGAAAGTCCAGCTATTTGCCCTTCCCTGACACCACCTCAGCACAGACATTGGGGTACCTCATTACATCCTAGAAAGACTGAAATAAACTTTGTTGGCTTAGGTGTGAGTTTGAGACAAGCTCACATGTTTTTCTGCTATATCTGGCTAGAGTAGAACAGTTTTGTAAAGGTAGGCTACGATCCCCCTTTCGTAGCATCTAGTGTTAGATTGGCTAGAGAAATTAGGCTCTTGCTGGGACCTATTTTTCCCCCTATTTTTAGATTTGTTCTTTTTAGTTATACATGACAGTAAAATGTATTTTGTCATATCATACATATATGGAGTATGATTTCCCATTCTTGTGGTTGTACATGATATGGAATTACACTGGTTGTATTCACATATGAACATAGGGAAGTTATATCTGATTCATTCTACTGTCTTTCCCATTCCATTCCCTTTCCCCATTCCCCCTTGTCCAATCTGATGAACCTCCACTCCTCCCTCCCCTGCTGCCTATTGTGAGTCAGCATCTGCATATCACAGAAAACATTTGGCCTTTGGTTTATTTGAAATTGGCTTATTTCACTTAGTCTCCAGTTCCATCCATTTACCAGCAAATGCCATCATTCCATTCTTATTTATGGCTGAGTAATATTCCATAGTGTATATGTACCACATTTTCTTTATCCGTTCATCTATTGAAGGGCACCTAGGATGGTTCCATAACTTAGCTATTGCTGGGACTTATTTTGTCTGTACTTGCTAATGTTTCCAGATCATCAGATTCTTCATCTTTATGAGGTAAAAAGAAAATTGAAGGAATTCACCTCTGCATGATTCCTCAGGTTCCAATGTCTGCCAGTTCTTGGTCCACCATTGAGAAATTTCTTAAGTTTGTTGTATGTACTGTGCTCAAGATTTTAGTTGAACATAGGTAAAATATGAAAAAGTATATCTGTTCCACTTTCCCAGAAACCAAAGTCTTGCTATCTTTTAACATTTACATTTTTTGGTAGTTTTCCAAAAAGATTCATGATTTTCTTGCCTAGATATGGTATTCACTATTAAGTTATTCATTCATATGTGAGTATGTGTCTTAATTAGTGATGGTACCTGAAATCTCTTTGTGTCATGTGTAGCAATTATCATCCAAGATTATATTAACACATATTGGTTGATTTTCATCAGTCTGATGAAAAGTGTCAGTTTGCTGTAGTCACTCTTTCGAAACAATATATGTATTAAAAGGAAATATGTTCATATGAAATAGGAAAATTGGAAAAGTAGCCAAAATGAGATGAAGAGATGAAAAGCAGAGAGAATAAAACATTATCAATAACACCACGTTGCGGCAAAAAAGGCTTTCACAATCACTAAGCTACTAAGATTAAATTTGCATTCTTATTACTTTATCTTATACTTTTACTTGGCAAAAATAGGAACATCCTTGATATTGGGTAAATAAAGTCCTAATCACATATTCCCATTCCTGATGAAAAGCTAACAAAAGTGTAAATAAGAGAGGTAAAATATAAGGAGTTAATTTTAAGCCTAGATTCTAAATATTAAACCTATCCTGATAACTTTTAAAACATGTTATTGGTGGCATAAATATTGAAACAGTTGCCTATTGCTAAAGTAGATCATATTCTCTCTCTTAAGAAAGATGACATCAATTCTGTTCCTGGCTTGCTTTTTATAACTGAATTAAGTAAACAAATAGCTGTAGATTTCCACAATAATGATTTTAGAAAATATTTTAAATATAGTGCAAATCATCAAGTAATATAAGCAGCTTATTTAGTTATTTACTGAATTCGTACCTATTTGGTATTCTATGGACTGCCAAAGTTGAATGAGTTCTAGAATCCAACTTTCAAGAAATTTTATGACTAATTATCATTATATTTTGGTATGGCTTTCTAACTGTTATATGGCTTTCTAGCAATGTATAACGAATACCTAAAATATAAATAAGATTTTTTCTAGGGATGATGATAAACATTTTGTTCATTATTCATTTTTACATACTATAGTAATTTTTTCTTTCCTGATTTCTTTAAATTTTGTCAACAGATTACTACTTTGCAACATGTTAGGATGAAAATTGGACAATGAGGGTTAATATGCAAAAGAATGACCAGAGAAATTCCAGGGTATCGAAAAATGCACACACCTAAAACAAATAATCCCAGAGAATCCAGCCTAAACATTTCTTTACGTGTAAATATTTAATGGAGGTAGAATATATTTAATCACATTGTATGACTCAGCTACCTTTCAGTTCACCTGTAAGACTCCTGGCAAACTCATTGATGTTAAGAATTACAAATGTCAGTTCTTAAAAAAATGAATTTCCAAGAAGTACTCATATAATTACTGGATCTTTGACATGGATTTGTTGTTGTTCATCAAACACTTTGGAAAAAGTTATATTAGAAGAACTCAAGTGGAACAGTGGTGAGCTACTAAAAAATTTAAATATTGTCACTAGAAAAACCTCACAGTACTCCATTTTACTGAAAGTAGGAATTTAAGTCTATGACTCACCTTATCGAGTAAAGAACATTTCCATTTTTGAAAATTCTTAGCAATTTGTTGTCTGTTGTGACTTCATGAAAATTGGCACCCTTTTCATTGGCAAAGAACAAATCAGGCTTCCAAATGGAGTCCAACATGGATGGGTCGAGGTCTAAAGAATCATCAGGATATTCACTGTATGCAAGGCGAGGATCGTTCCATTTTTGACGAAGAAAGATATTCACTCTGTAATCCTGAGGGATGTGTGGTGGGGGAGAGAGAAAGAGAAAGACACCCTTCTTTAAAAAGTTTAGAAAAATCCATTGCATCAGTGTGGGTTCATCAGTGCTAACAAATTTACCACTCAGGTGGAGCATGTAGATATTGGAAGAGGCTGTGCATTTGCGGAGTCAGAGAGTTTATGGAAATGTCTGTATTTTTCTCTGATTTTTACTGGAACCTAAAACTTCTCTAAAAAATAAAGTCTTTTTTTTTTTTTAAAAGTTTAGAATTGAATTGTATGTGCTGTTCTTTGGGCTTCTCTAAATTATAACAGAAGCCACTGACATTCTTTGGGGCTTTCCATGTGCTACAGTACTCATTTTTTACAACTAAAAGAGTAATCCTGCTTCTGACCTTTTGCCCATTTCTTTGGTGACCTGTGTACCTATAAGGAAGGATGACAGAACACTATAGTTCATCATGTTTACCTTTTGCTGTTCCATTCATATTTTATTCTCCTGGTTTATAAGAATGAAATATTGGATTGCTCTTAGACACTTGGATAAAATATTTTCACAAATGCATTTATTTTTTTGAGTCATTTCTTTTAGTAGGTATCCAACAGCATCCAGAATATGGTACATTTAATGATATTTGCTTGAAAGCTATCTGGTTTACAAAAATGACCATACATACTTCTTTACAATGAAGACACATTTTCTCATGTTTAATATAGCAAGTTCTATGCATGTAAGTAATTTGAGGAAAAAGGTGACTTTTGAATAATAAAAGAATAACAAAGGTTAATTGCCAATGATCCTTTAATATAATTTGGCTAATGAGATTTTCCAATTATACCTTTCACAGAAAACTTTTAAAGGAAAAGAGTTAATGATTTCAGTCAAATTCCTGGTTATAACTTCTGGACTAATGTATAAAATGAGAAAGTGACAGCTGGGCATATATGTAGTATTTGTGCATATGCAGTATATGAAAATAAATATCAATATAGTTTTATAAATGTAATTTTGTCCTTAGATTTTTGAAATAAGCAAGTAAATAAGAGACTTCATTATAATTGTGATTAAAGCAAATATTTAAGAAAGCTTCGTTTTCTTGAAAAATAGTGATTCTGGATATATATAAAGAAACATGAAAAACAATTTTTATCTATTTTCTTATTTCTTAAACACCAAATTATAGGTTATCAAAACCATAGTAACCAAGCAATCACAAAGGATTCTTCCACAATATCAGACCAGGCAGATTGATTATCTTATAGGTTACTCAAATTCAGTCTATACTAAATGTTGCAAATCTCTATATTCCCTTGATCAGTGTTTGTGCACTGAGACCACTATCCACTAACTGCCACTAAGGCTACATACTAGAAAAGATTTTCCTGTGCTTACTAAGTGCCCGATGTATTTTCCAAAGTAATTATGGAGCAGAGTTTTGTCTTGTCTTGTGCCTCTGCCTGATTGACCATTTCAAAAAGGAATACAAACACCACTAAATTTTTGGCAATTTGTAGCAGCATCAATAGGAAACTAATACATGTCTTTTTGAGTTGATTTGCATATATTATCATTGTCAATTTTTAAAGATGTTTCTAACAATAGATTTTTAAAAAGAGTAATTAGAGACGGAAGAACATTTAAGAAAAAAATCACAATTCATAGTCAATTGGAAAAATAACTCTGATTTCTTCCTCTTTTAAGGAGTCCTAATCAAAGATCCTTGGTAATTTAAAAATGATTAGAAAATAACTTATCTTTGCCAAAGAAATAGCAACAAAGTTCTGACTCCCTAGTATTTTACTGCTTCAGTTTTATAAGATTTTCCAATTCTGTAGCACTGTACAACATGGGCCCCCCTGTATCACAAAGAACAGAACAATAATACTCAATGGTGAGATAATTGCTTCAAACATTATCTCTATTATATCCCCCATGTTGCTGTACCATCTGCTCTAGACAACTGCCACAGGGTGGGTGGTCGTCTGGGGCCACTGGTTTTGAAATAATGGCCCATTGGGAAAATGCCTTTCAATTCTCAGTTTCTAAGTCAACAGGGAAGAATGCTATTTTATAAGAACTATTTGTACGCACATAAAGGTTATTCTAGATTTCCCTCTGACTTCTTCATTATTTATATGTTTATTCTCTTTTGAAAGGGCAGAATGATTTTTAAAATTAAAAAAAAATAAAAAATCTAATTATATAACAATACCAGAAACATAAAAGTAGAAAGTATTGGTTAGAGCATAAAGCATGTTGAATCAATGAAATAATACTCTTTGTATTTTCATTCAGTAACCTCTGCATAAATTTAAAATTGAAAAATAAAAGTAGTAAAGAGTGAAGAACATAGCCCAATCCTTGCATTCCGGTGTTAAGAACTTGTAAAAGTGTAAATGTAGTCCTTGGGCATATTTTCCAGAACTTTAAAGGATGGATAATAGCACTAACTAAGAATTTATTTTGAATATATGTAACATAAGATTTTTAATATCAGATTTTGCCAATACAAACACATTATGCAAACCAAGTTTCTTGTTTTTCAAGTGTTTTCAATCTAAAGATACCTAGATTTATAGCTATATACATGCATATTATTCAAATATTGGTGTAACGTTCACATTTCTCTCTACACCTTTAGTGTTCTGTTGATACATCAGCTTTTTATTAGGTGTAAAGAAAAGGTTTAGTAAAAATGAACAAAGAAATAGATCTGGTGGCAAGGGATTTTTATTGGATTTGGTTTTCCATTTGTCCTCAGTAGGAAAATTTAATGTAGAAATAAAATTATTCTAATACTTATTTTGAGTATTTCCATGTTGTTCTCAACACTGCAGCTTGCTATTGATTTTTAATATTAACTAGTATTGAAATTTTCAGAAATTTGAACCACCATTTTCCTTTGGAAATTTTAATTCATGAGAGTTTATGTGATACATATATCATTTATTAAGAAATATTAAAAGTTGAAAATTAAAAAGAAAAATATTTTGGAAAAGTTTTGTCCATGACAAAATTGATTTGGGAATGAGCAATTCAGATAATTTTTTAACTAGCTGTTGATTTTGGAGATTATCCAGGAAGCTGTTAATCAACAGTTCACTGTTAATTACCCACAAATAGTCTACTAAAACCGTAATTAAAAGGAAAATGTAATAAGTTTATAGCTTCTTGGACGGATAGTACTACTTATTTTAATGCTAATATACTTACATATACTTGAGATTGTGCATAGCTATTTAAAGGCATTTAAATGTATGGTACCATCATAGGAAATAGATAAATTTTCATTTTTATTTTTCATCCAAATACTTGTCAACCTGTTTTATCTTCTCTTTGAGTCTATAAAACTTGAAGATTTTAATATTTTATTGAATGTAAATTCTAGAGTACATTTAGCACAATCTTGATGCTAAAACTTTTAAAAATTGTTGGGGATGCAAATCAAGTCAAGATGGTGCCTGGCACTTTGCCAGGAGGAGTGGTTTGCGAAGCAATGCCAGCAAGCCATTGAGATGATGAGGATTCCTTATTGGCTGATTGCTGTATCTGGATGATGCTAATTAAGTTAAGCTGTGTGTAATTAGTTAAGTATATATACCTCTGCTGTCCTGGCAGAGAAGCGGCTCCTGCTATCTCGAGTGCCCGCTACTTTGAGTTCTCCCTCAGTTCCTGCTGAGTTCACTGGCAATAAAGTAGTTCCCACTTCAACCTTCAAGTTGCTTGTCACCTCCAGGTTATTTGCCCAGCCGGACTGAGGCAAGAAATACTTATGATCGTTGTATTTCTACATTATAGTTTTGTATTAGCCTATTTCTGAATCTGATATATTTTTTCTTTGTAAAATTAGCTTGCCATTTGTGCTTGAATACTTCCATGACAGGATTTTTATTTTTTAGCTGATGAGAACACAGAGAATAAATTAAGTGGTTTTCTCAATGCTGTCGCACAAGGGCAAGGAAAAAAAAAAAAACTTAGATCACCCTAATTTTCATTCAGGCCCTGAGCTCTCAAAGTAACTCAGCATGATGTACAAAATTTACTGCTTACTGTAAGTGCTATTATCAACGGAAAAGCAAGATTTCTTTTATGGTGGCAGATTATTTTCTTCCAGCTTTCCCCCAGCTAAATACCACTGAGTTACTTCTTTGACATCATGTAGAAAGAGCCTAATAGAATACTGCAAAAATCTATTAACATAGAACATATGAAATTTAATATAATGTATTTTTAGTCATTAGAGTTTTGGGATGGTTGGTTATATAGCAGTAACTGAAATAGAATTAGGTAACTGGAGATGGGTGCTTCTATAAGAACAATGAGCCATTGACCTTAGAACCAGGTATGAGGTAGCAGCTTGCAAAGCTTTGAGGAAATTGTTATGAAGGCTAAAGGGATAAAGGACAAAATTCTTATTAGATGCGAAAATATTTTACTCTTGTGTTGTGAGAGCAACACATTGCCAATGCTGTCATTTAGTAATGTGGAAAATGGAAAGATGACACTAATAATTGCTGTATTTGAATAAGGAGATTTCCAGGTAAAATCTTGAAAACTCCACTTCATTTTTTTATAGGTTCTATGTTATAATCTCAAGGGTATGGCTCTGACTCCCTTGTTTATATTTCAGAAAGATCAAAAAGATGCATCATTAATGTTCTCAACTACATTTAAGTATTTCTAAGAATCTTTTAAAATGTTTTTTTAATTAGTTCATTATGTATGTACATAAAGGTGAAATTCACTGATATATTCATTTATGTACATAGGAAAGTTTGATCAGATTCATTCCACAGTTTCTTACTTTTCTCATCCTACCTCCCTCTCACTTAATCCCTTTCCTCTATGCCACTTATGTCTCTTATATTTGCATAGACCCCCCCCTTCCTTCTCTCCTTTCATTCTACCGTCTTTCTGGCCTCCCTTATTTTAGGCTAACTTTGCATATTAAGGAAAACATTTAACCCTTGGCCATTTGGGTCTGGCTTATTTCATTTAGCATGATGTTCTCC